CCGGCCGTGCGGGCGCGGCTCTCTCGTGGAGTATATCACAGATAAAGAGAATTACTTCTCAACATGTTTCCGCACTTTTTTCTTAATTTCATCACTTTTGTCTTGTGTTGTTCACTGCACTACACATGTGACTCGGCACCACTACCACCACCACCACCACAACGCGCCAGGCCAGACAGGGCCGACAGGGAAGGCAGCAACGGGCCGCCCTTCCTCCTCGAGCTCGCGTTCACACTCAACTGGCCAGCCCGCCCGCCCGGGCCTCGCCGCCGCCGCCAGAGCCGCGCGCCGCCCGAGCCTCGCCGCCAGCCGGGCGCAGCCGGGAGGGAGGGGGGCATTGAGTCACGACGCTAGTGGCGCGCTCCGGCGGCCGGGGACGCAAGCGTAGCGCAAGCGGCCCACTGCCTCCAATGCGTCCGCCTGGCTGCCTATGCCTCCAGGGGGAAGGACTTGCACACATTACACACACTTCGGCGTACTAAGCGCCAGCTCTCGCAATGTCAGAGTCGAGACACGATAACAACGCAAGCTGCACCACAAAAAGCTCCCGAGAATGGTACTATCTGTAGAGGAGGGCAGGGCGGCGCGGCAGCTGCGCGATACTCTCGGGGGCGTCGCGCGGGTGAAAGGTCTTTGAACGCCGTCAAGGAAGACGGGTGCGCGCGCCCAGCCCTGGCGGAGCCCGGCCCGGCCCAGCCCAGCGATGCACTCGTCCTTTTGGCACTTCCCTATCTGTCCGCGCCGACCGGCCTTGCAGCGCGCCAATTAGCTATAGCGCCCCGCCCCCTCCCCTCCCCTCCTCCTCATCCATTGGATCAACAGCCGGTCACCGCGAATGTAATTCATCGCGAAACAGAACTGCGCGCGCGCCGCGCTTCATACACTAGTACAGCACGTTACCACCATCACCTTCATCTACAAAACTATAACCGATTTTTCCATTTTTGCCGTCACGCCGACCGTCACTACACCAGGAGGTGGGCCGTGAGTCAGGCGGCCGCCGCGAGTGACGTGACGCAGGTGAACGCCGAACCAGGCACGGACGGGCCAGCCTGACTCACGGACCTGTACGCGGAGCTCCGCGGAGTGACTGTCGTGAGTCAGGCGTGGGCGTGCGAAAGGGGTGCCCCGCCCACGTACGAACAAACTTCGCGAAACGTTTCCGAAACCTAGCGGCAAAGCAATCGAAACTGGCATTAGACTTGTGGTTCTCTCTTTCTAGGACTAGGCTGTCCGCCTCCCACGCGACCCGTCGGCAGTCACCGACGACGTCGGTCCGCAGGGCGGGCGGATACTGTAGCAGGTCCAGGCACTCCGTTGCGTAAGGCGGCAACCACCAGCAGTGCTTCAATTCAAGGTCGCACTGCATGGAGAGTCAACAACCTGGCCGGGCTGGGCCGACGAACCAACCGGGCGAGCAGAGGCAGGAGGCGGCCTGGCGGCCCCAGCCCAGCATGGCAACGAACGAGCGACGCGACTCAACTTCGCTCCTCTGCGGGCTGGGCGAGCGAGCTGGCAGCTCTCCGCTCAGCCCGGATTGGATTGGAAGCCTGGTCGGCGTGGTGTTCCCGTCCTGCCCCTGCCCCCTCTCACCGCCACGCCCCGCCACCTGGCCTCTCACTCTGTGGTCCACTCTTGTGGTCTAAGGGGCCGTAGAGAGGAATCCCTCCAGCGGGCG